TGCAGTGTATCCTTCCAAAGGGGATAATGATTTGTCAACTAAAGCTTTAACTGCTCTTTTTAGTTTAAGGAGGTGGTTGAGTGGCTTCTTATTTTTCTCATGCTATCTTTTGGCTCCTTCCAAGGGAAATATTTTGGCACTGGATCTCTTTTTGATTATGATAAAAGTTTGTTCTATTCCGCCATCAATTAGTGAGGAGTTCAAAAGTTATTTGTCAGGGGATCCATTTTACCTATCCATTATGATTTTCAAGGACGTGTACATGAGCAGCTCTGTCCATGGTGCATTGCTGGCTAAATTTTATACTTTTGAAAAATTGGATTGCAATTCTGATGCTACATCATCTAGAATCTTGCGGATGGGATATTTGTTGGACACACTTTTGGGGCTTGTAACCAAAATCTGTGCATGGACTTTGAAATGGTGGATTCTTCAGAACGCTTTTGATCAAATCTTTTGTGTCACAAAGGACTTTGTGTCGCCTGTAATGATTTTGATCAAAAAGTTTGAAATGAGAGAGGCAAGTATTTTACTCCCAGGAATGCATTTTGTTCGCCTTTTACCAGACCCCAATGCTATTGGTGGTGCTCTGCCAGCATGCCAAGAGGGTGCTTTCCCCACCATTCAGTCCAAGGAGAGGGAAGTCCAAATTATGCCAATTGATGTTAGTTTTGGCAGTGCTTTCTCCACTGATATAATTCCCATGCCTTTTCTTCTTTCAACAGCTACCGTCAACTTTTCAGGGAACTTTACAATCCACCAACTCCTTCAGTTTTTGAAGAACACCAATCCTTCTGACATTTTAAATGCCAACACTTATGATGGCATGTCTGGTGTTACGGTAGATGTTACCTATTATTCTAAAGAAGCCTTCAATTTCACTATGGTAACCATTAGTGACACAGAGACAGGCTGGCCAAGTTTTGGTGGAACAAATGCTACTGCAGAGAATGCTGAGACCTACAATAATAATTTGATTTGTGTCCTAAATGATTTTGGACTCTCTAGTCAGCCAAAGATAACCATTAATACCTATAAATTGTTTAATAAAGACAAGAGGAATGGACCTATATCAGAAAAACACTGGGATATTTTTTATCCTTTGCATTTTAGTGCTTCCCAACAGATTCGTGCAAATCCTTCACCATTTTTGTGTGTGGCTAAAGTTTGGGTAAATAGTGACAAGATACAAGTTGGCGTGCACTGGGCTGGTGAACTCTGCCAAGCACAATGTGCAGCTATTCAAGGAATCATTATTTTCATTCAGGCCTTGGAGTCAGATGCTACGTTGAGCAATGATATAGCTTTTTTGTTTGCTATTGCTGTTGTCTCACAGCCACAACAGATAAAAGGGGCCGAGCAGCTACACACAATTGTCATGATAAGTTTAGTGGTTTTACTGATTGTTATTCTCAATGCAATACTAGTTATGTACTCACAATACAATTTTATTGATATGTCATTCAAGCTTTTCAAAAAGAGGTTTGCAATGGATGCCGTGAGAGTGATCTTTGCCCTGATGCCTATAAGATGCTTTGTGTGGTCTTTTATGGGTTGTGGTTACTGCAAGAAGGACAATATCATAGAGGGCGTGATTTTTTACAATTGGATTCTGGTTTGGAATTTAAATATTTGGAATTCCTTGATTGCTACCTCTGTCCCAAAAGAATTTGGTGCAAAAGCTCTACAAGCTTTTGAGGAAATGAAAGTTAAAGGGTTTGTGCCACATAATTTCCCTTTTACTGGTATTTTATATGTTTATGCTCAGCTTGAGTTACTGGGTGTTGTTAAGCAAATGCATCACGAGATGGAACACAAAACAATAGCTGCCAACCCAATTGTTTTGAGTGGATTGTTTGACATGTATGCAAAATGGAGGGACTTGATCATTACAAGGTTGATATTTGAAGGGTTCCCTATGCTGTTATACTCTTGCCATAATGCTATGATTTTAGATTGTGCCATCTTTGATCCAGGTGGAGGTGCAACCCAACCTCGAGGACGAGGTTGTTTTGAAGGGCGGTGGAATGTAACGACCCAATTAGACACAGAAACACATGCTCCCAATGGCCACACTTACAATATGTGTTTGTTTTTAATTCTACAATATGTGTCCCGTTGTTTTTGTTACTTTTATTACCACATAATTAGAAATTCCCTTTGTGATGAGATAGTAATTCACTCACAAACATTTACTGTTAAATAGGTGTGTGTTTGGAATGAAAAGCATAGAAGATTATTGACTCATTTCTCCCTTGTCTCTCCTCTCTCTCTCTCTAAAACTCTTCTTCTTCTCTTTAATTTCTGTTCTGTAATTCTCTTTCCCCTGTAGCTCTGCTACACCTTGTCTTACTGAGATTTCTTGTTAGAGATCTCACCCCACGTTTGGGGGAATGCTTATTTCAGGTTGAGGTAGTATGGTGACTGATGCCTCTGGCGGCAGGAGGCCATAGCTTAGCTGATTATGATATTATGTTGTATTGCTGCCATGACTGGATTTTGATGTTGCTATGTATGTTTATGTTGTTGTTGAGACTAATGTTGGGCGTGTTGCCTTATTTGAGTGAGCATGAGGATTGTCCATGACACTTTATGTTAGTACTTTTAGATTGGAGTTGCATAACCTGCTAGTCGGTCCGGTCTACGTTGTTGTAGTTCCGTGACTTCTAGAGACACACTTATATTATCTATGTTATGAGGTATTTCAGTTAGCTGTTTTATTGCAATTACATACAGGCGATGTTTTATTAATTGATTAATAAGCAAGTTGGTAATGTTAATGACTTCATAATTGAAAAAGAAAAAGATATTCCGCATTTTTAATTAAGCGCTGCTTAATACGATAGTATGATAACATTACCGGATATATACGGGGTGTTACAAATGTTCTCCACAAATGACACATTTTTTTAGTGTCTATTAACCATAGTTCCCTTCTCATCATAGGCCTACGGGTTGAGCCAACATTATTACACAAACTAATCAACATTATAGATATCCAAGCCCAAACCAACGGATCACTTAATTAAAAGAGCTTTATACTGCACCCCCCATATAAATCACTACTTAGCCCATTTTATTAAAAGAAAAAACTACAATTGATTGAAACCCATAATAATTATAAAAAATTCAAACATTCTCCCACTTTGGTAACGATGAGCTAAGGACAAATTTTTATAACGAGGCCAAATTTTAAGAAAACACATTATCTAAGGTACGATATATGAATATCACTCAATCCAACTAAAGCCAAACAACAATGAATCAAGCGGTGATTACATCATTTATTGATATAAGACCTTCCATGGTCACAAATGTTATTTGATTCCACCGACTAGTCATTAGTGTGGAGTGTAGCAAGAAAATAACATGTCAAGGTGATCAAACAATAGCCAAACTGCTATTTTCTTTGTCAGTACTCAAATTTCTCTCAAATACCTTAAAGCTAGAGAAATTTCATGGTTTATCAAAAAATCATCATACAATCAATATAATGTCAACCACGAGCCGAGTAATCCAATCAAGAACAAGTTTCATGGCATCATTATGTCTCGAACTCCAATATAGTGACAACCACAGACATGATGGTCCCAATGACACTAAGTTCCAAAATTTTGCAATTGATATGTAGTAGTATATATACTCGAACATATAATAGCAAAAACTAATGCATTATCAATTTCTCTAATGAAAAGTACGTTTGTGTCCTAAATAAATAAATTTTTTGAATTCAAACTCCCAAGTACGTCAAAGCAACTCACAACGCCAATGTTCTTCACATGCATTCTACAAAAAAAAAAAAAAAAAACCATGGGCCTAAGTCCTTGAATTAGAAAGTCAGTCAATATGCTCAGTAACTGAGTCATCCACAAAATAAATAAAATTCATAATCAATTAATAACCTAAGAATTTGATATTATTTTTCCATCACCAAAATAAAATATAAGTTTTTCAAAAATGATATAAAATTCAAAACCCTTCTTAAAGAGGCCTTAAAGAAAGTTCATTTAAAAATAAACTCATATCTTGACCTCAAAGAACTACGCAAATATCTCTCATTGACTCCACATTAACTTCAACATCGCACAAAATCAATTATTTTCTCCCTCTAAAAAAATTGTCGAGTATGTTCTCTACATTAACTATTTAATGGCACTATGCCCTATCAAGATCGAAATGCATAAGGAAAATTCTCAATCTCATATCCATTCATTATAATTCAATCCAATCAACAATTCTATTATGGTATTCTTATCATTCATATCAAAAGTATATTCATTATATTAAAGCAATTATATTAATTATGGGTAATAAAATAATTTTAACGAAATAATTAACACACTATAAACTCTCCTTTTGGAAGAGTAACTAATATACAATTATTTCATATTATTTAAAATTTTATCTCAATGTAAATTTCAAAAATTGTGGGTACAATAACCCCTCTGGGCAGGTAATCGCAGACAATAATTTTTATCAATAAAGAATTCCGACAATTCACAAATAATGTTCCGAATAATCATGCTCAAATAATATGAAAAACCTTATAACGTGTTTTCAAAATTCTTATTGTATTTACTAAACTACAATTTATTCCACAAATTTCAATCCCCAATATCAACAACTACGTACCTTAGCTAACTAATCAAACTTAATTGATAGAGTACCTAAAATCTAAACTAAATTAGGGAGTAAGTACTAACATTATAATTACCATAATCTATAATAATTTTTTCATTAATTAGAATTTGACATGAACATATATATTTATATGTGTTAAGAAATTAAAATAAGTATTTTAAGAACGCTGAACATGAAATTAGCTAAACACATTTACAAATTGATTCAAAGAAAAAATAAATAGTATAATACAATAGGATTGCATCTGAAGAAACTATAGGGCAATATATAACTTCAATTAAAGCAACCAAGGTTGTAACCAAGGTCAAAACCTTGGATGAGTTAATCAATGAGCACAACATGTTGTCATATAAAGGTCAACATAATAATTTTTTTTATTAGGTAGAATACACAAACCAAGGTCTAAACCAATATCACTTAACTAATTGGGCTTTATACTACATCCACATATATATAATGACTTAGATAATTTTTTATTAAAACAAGAAAAATACAGTTGATTTTAACCCACAGTAATTACAAAAAATTCTAATAGTATAAACTAAAGTACCATTCAAGGCAATTCCATCAGTTTGCGATATTCAGCTAGAGCCCACATTGGAAAAATATTTCGATACATTGCATAATGGATAAGGCAATTCCTCAAGAATACGCCTGTGCATTCCTGCCATAAATTAATTAAAGAAATAATTAATAACTAACAAGTATCTCATGTATTGTCGTATATTTGTTATTTCGGATAAAAATAAAACTATGAATTTAAAAAATATTAAAAGAAAAAAATTAAAATTAAAAATGAGATATATATAATCAATTCATGTAAAACTTTAAAAATATAGACCAAAAGAGAAGAAATATGTAAATTATAAATTTTTTGAATATGCATAATTAATTCAAATAATTTGAATTTACTTTTTATAAAAAAAATTAAGAATAACTTACGTATACTAAAAGATTTAACTATCCTTAAAAAGGACCAGCTCTGATTTAATGCATAAAGATGGATATATAAATAAATTGTATTCTTTTAATAAATTTAAGATTAAAATTTGAACATACCATATGACTTCGAGTTTTTTGATTTTTAGGATTATGTAAAAATATTATTAAAAGTAAGTATAGATTAATGTTTGCTATTCTGCATGAAGACCAGTGGCGGAGCCACTTAAGGGTAGGGTGGTGTGTGAGTCCGGGCTAGATTTTTATAAATTTTACTTATTATATATAATTATATAATTAATTATGTTTAGACCAGTGCCAAAATTATAATTTGGCCCGGACAAAAATTATACTTTGACCCTATCTAAAAATTAAAATATAAACCATAAGGATTGCTGCACTGGTGAGGAATTTGGGTATGTTATATATTTAATTCTTACTTTTATAAAAAATTTAAAAAATATTTAATAAAATTAAAAAACATATAATAAAAATATTTAATAAAATTATAATTCTCTAGATTTATGTTTTTTCTTCCCGTGGGCTGCTTTTTTGCTACCTCTTGCCCTATTTTAAGGTTAGATTTTCTCTCTCTAAATATCAATTTATGCAAGATGTGTTGTTGAGCTTTGCTTAATTAGTATTTTCCTTTTTTTTATATCTTAAACCTTTTCTAACTTCGGCTTTTCCACAATTTTTTTTCCAATTTACAATTACAAGGCTCTCTTAGTTTGTTTATGGACCAAGACTTTCACGAGGACCCTATCTGGGGAGCATGACAATACGCTCTGGTTTGTCTTTGGCATTTGTTTCGTTCAAAGCTGTTTACAACTTTACATCCTTAGCCATCCAAGTTATAATATCCCTAACCTAATTAAATAGTAAATTACAGGTTATTAAGTAAATTAAACATGCTTTAGTGAGTAAAATTAAGTATAAGGCTTAATTAAATTAATTTGAGTCACTTTGGAGGTAAAAAGTGTACTCAGTGAAAATTAAGGGGTATAAATGGGTGTAGGCAAAAGTACCCAAAATATAAAAATGGAAATGGAAATATTCTTAGAAAAATATTCCAGACTTTTGGGTAAAGTTTGGTGATTATTGGAGTTAAATAGATAGACGAACTGATACCCACATGTTACCACTTAACTTATGTTAAGTGATAAGATGCAAACAGAACCCACTTTCCCCCCAGAAACCTGTCGACAGAAAGGAGGAGAAGAGAAGAGAGGAAGAAGGAGGGAAAGCCTAGAGATTGCTAATCTCAACCATTTTGAGTGATTCCAAAGCCTAAACCACTCCAAATCTCCTCCTCTTTCATAATCCTAGCTTTGTTTTGAGTGGGAAGCATTGTGGAGAGGGATATTGGCTCTCAAAAATTCGCCCATTTGGTGAAATTTGGGGTTTTGAGTGCTTCAACCTCCATTGAAGCTTGGGGAACCATCAATCCTTGGTTGTGTGACCATTGGTGGTAAGATTCTAACCCTTGAACCTCATGATTCCTTGAAATTGCATGAGTTAGGGTTTGTAAATAGTGTTTTAGGGTTTTTGATGGAATGTTGTTAAGTTAGCCATGTTCTAGGAAGAATGGAACTTAGAGCATGTTGTGGAAAATGCTAGGAACTGCGTTTAATCGGTAAAAATGAGCTTAGATAGCTAAATGAGTATATTTGTAAAATGGAAAGAATATGATGCTTGATATTGGATTTCTTGCATTGTTAATAAATGGTTTGGTTTGGTTGGTTGTTGATTATGCCTTGGTGTTGTCTAGGATTGAGGCATTTGGACCAACCGTGAGTGATCAACCATTGGAGCAAACTATGGAGCTTGACCAGCTCCTTGAAATAGGTAAGCTCTTGCTAAGTTGGGATGTAGAGTTGTTGTGGTATTAATGAGTATGTATGAATATTCATTGTATAGTATGATTGATGCTATGGCACCTTGGTGTAGGTGTGTTACTTGTAAGTCATTGTTGAAACCAAAGTTGATTGGTTGCTGAACCGTTGGTGGTGAACAAAGGTTGAACGGAAGCTTTGAGGTAAGCCTTCGGACCTTGGGTGTAATTCCCTTGATTGTTCCACCAAGCCCTAAAAGGGTAGTGGTGATTATAGTGTATATAAATGCAATAAAATAGTGTAATGCGTTGTTATACGTATGTGTATGCATTTGGTGTGGCATAGGATGGTGTTTCCCTATGTTGGTATGTGGCATGACGATGCGTAAATCATACTTGGTAGTTAGCTGGCCAGTAGGACTATTTGCATCTGAGTTTCCTTAGGACAGCTTGTGAGCTCGAGGGATTTCTCCTGGAGATGTATTGCACTTTGCATAGATATGTATTTACTGCATTATTATTGTTATTGCTATTACACTGATATGGAACTGTGGGGTGGAGAGATGCTCCAAGAACCCCTGGTTTACTGGATATATTCGTATATCTCACCCCGTGTTGTGGGGACCCCCTTTCAGGTAAGGATGCTGCAGGAGCCTCTGGTGGCAAATGGCCATATTTGGATTAGCATATGCATGAGGATCCTATATTTTCATATTATACATGTTGTTTTGTAGCTCACATGTATAGGATTGTAAATCATAGACCATTGATAGATGTATGATTTGTATATTGGAATGGACTTAGCCTATGCTCATGTCTTTGGTCATCTCTTTTGTTGATGGGAGCCAAGGGAATGATCATAGTGTTTTGTAAGCTAAGTTTCATGAATTGTAATGAACATGATTTGTAATTGATGAGTACTTTAAGTTTAATATATGTATGTTCATTAAGTATTGGTTTGTTGAACTGGAAACTAAATTAGGTACCTAGTGCTAAATTGGGAAATGTTGAGAAAACAAATACATCCTGTCCGTTTGACCAATTTTCACACCCAATGTGATGGAATTGGACTTTTATGTCTCTATGGAAGTTGTAGACATTTCTCTTAGCTTTCCATAGAGACCAAAATGGTGTAATTTGAGTGAGTATAGCTCAAGTTATGAGTGGAAAACCATAGGTAGGTTAAATGACCTTGTTTTGGGTCACCCAGCCCTGTGGATGGCGCCTGGGGCGCCAGGTTCACGCTTGGGGCGCCAAATTACGAGATCAGACAGTAGCATTCACGCTTGGGGCGCCAATTCCATGCTTGGGGCGCCAATTCCACGCTTGGGGCGCCAACTTTCTGTTTTCCCACGCTCTGGGCGTGGATCTCACGCTTCGGGCGCAGGGGTTCTGGAGGTTTCGCACCCTTTTCTTAGAAAATGCATAACTTTGGCTACGGTGCTCCGATTTGAGCGCGGTTTGAACCCACGCGTAGCTAATGAAAAATACTATAATATAGTAGAAGATGGGAATCATAAAAGGAGTTTATAATTAATTTGATAATTAAAGTGATGAAGACATTTAACGACGTATTGTCAAGTAGAATGAGAATATAATATTAAGTTTAGTCCCACTATTCCGCGAAGTATATATAGTTATGATCACGCACTTGGTTATTTGAATCCGGATCATTTAAAAAGGAAAAATTTATCCGGTTTTCTAATTGAACCAATGTGATTGTAACTGCGCTTAATGCCGTACGCAATGATAACAATCCGGTTCTAGAACGGGTTGTTACAAAAGTGGGTATGTTGGAGCCTCCGAAATAGCTTTGTTCGTGCGTTCTTGTGCATTGGCAGAGAAAGACAAACGCTTTTTAATGTAATGTGATACTATTTAGTAAATAATATAGATCAGTATCTTAGAATTCATAATAAAATTTTTCCCTAATAAATTTATGTAATTACGATAAATATTTTGATATATAAATTTTTTTGGCCCGAGCTGAAATTGGAGCTCAGCTCCGTCACTGATGAAGACATACGTAAAAAAAAATCCTTATTAAAATGACATCAGTGATGGAGCTATAAGTGGTAAAATATGTCATGACTCATAAGTTGATTCTTGATATGATATGCCAAAGTACATGTCTTGTCAACTCGTGGGATAAAACAAAAATAGATCATGTCTAGGTTTGGGAAAATAATACAAATTATTATTATGTCGTATTTTGGGTTGACTCGTGTGATCTGCATATCAACGACTTATTTTTTATTCAAAAAAATACAAAATAAAATTTGAAATTTTAGTGATTTTGACACTAACCGCTGTGAGTCACGGATCAACTTGCGTATTTTATTCAACATTTCTCGTTATTTTTAATTTTTTATAAAAATATCCAATCTAAATTTGTGTCTCAACCTATGTGACCCACGACAAGTTTCATTTTTTGACACGTTATTGACAATGTGTCATGTTCGAGTTGAGCAGTTTTACCCTCATGCCAACACTTCACATGATATGAACTTGATCCACCGACACATTTTACCACCTATTTTGCTCATATAATGCTGTAGTTATGAATAACATCACCTACTATGTTGTTACAAGAGTTCTTCCTATATTTTATTTTATTTTTTTAAAAAAGATAATATTGTTTGAATTAGATCAATAGATATAAAATATAAAACATATTAAAAAGATATAGAAGAAGTAAACTTGTAGAAAGTAGACTTAAATATAGTAAAGTTGGTTTTATATTTTTATAGATCTTGAATTTATTTTGATGTCTATTTAAATATCAATATATAAGTTAAGAATAATTGAATTTGTATTTAAAAATTGGATAAAAAATATATTTAAAATTTCTAAAAAGATTCTATTTTCTTACCAATTTGGCAATTTCAAATAAATTTGATGTATATTAAAAATTAATATATAATAAATAAATAAGATAAGAGAAATAAAAATAGGATTTACAAATTAGATACAAAGTAAATTTAAACAAAAAATGCTTATTTTATTTTTTAGTCAATCTCAAATATATTTGATATCTATTTAAATATCAATATGAATATTATTAAATAAAATTAAATTTATTTTGTAATCAATCCAAATGATTTGAGTATTTATATTCATATTATATTATATTGCGATTTATGTAATGTGATACATATGCTATGAATATTTTCATTCAATTATATAATTTTTTATTTTAAATTTAAAATTTAAAGTATATGTAATTTTACTCATCACAAATAATCCTCGCTTCGCCATTAAATGACATCAAAGGGTAGACCGATACCTGTTGTGGCCAATCACCATCTTCCAGTTGAGAATTGATGAGCAACTTTGCTGCATGATGAAGAGGAGTTGGGTCTCTCTTATCCTGCATAGAAATTAGAAAAAAGAAAACGTATTATTTAACATTTTTTTTTCTTTTTGAATTATGATTTAAGAAAGCGAATTAGATTGATCGTAGAGGCAAAAGGTGAATTGCAATTTGCAAGAAATAAAAAGTAGACCTGTCCAGAATGAATGAGAGCCATCAGAGCCCATGCAGTTTGTACAACATTTGAACGATTTCCTTCAAGGGGTATGTATATCTGCATCATCCAATTCATCAAACCACATTCATAAAGGGTAGTTGATTTATAAATCATTCAATAAATCTATCTATCTATCTACCTTTTTTGGGCATGATAGATGGCTCTCTCCCCATCCACCATCCTCTCCCTGTGTTGCGAGAAGAAACTCAACTGCTTTTCGAATTGTAGAGCAATTAGAGTAAGTCTTGCCACATGCTGCAAGCCCAGCAACAGCAAAGTATGTGCCATAAATGAAGCAAACTCCCCATTTACCATACCATGAACCATCAGTTGTTTGGGTATCCTCAATGAATCGAACCGCATTAATAATGGAATTCTCGATTTCTTTCTTCCTATGCTCCGGATATAGTTTCTTAAACAATACAAGAGCCTCAATTACCGATGCAGTACATTCAACATATTCATGCTCAACTACCATGTCCTCAAAAAATTCTGTGGGATTGAGCACCTGAAATGGTTGACATCGCAGATTAATTAATTAATAGCTAGTTACCGTTCTTGAAATAAATAAACAAATTTCATTCTTATTAGTTGAGATGAATGACTAAGATTAAAATTGAAGTATATATATAAACTAACATTAAAATTGAAGTATATATATATATATATATATATATATATATATATATATATATATATATGGAGTAGGTTTTTGCAATATATTTATGTGTGTGCATGGATTCTCGAGGTTTATGTCTTACATAGTGAACTAAATCACAATGTGAAGTATGGATTTGTTTCCCAAATGGGTAAAGTGTGTGGATATGAAGAAGATAAAAGAGGCAGCGACCAAAACTCTAAGATATCTCTGTTTAGCCTCAAATATGCTGAGGGTGCACAAGGGAGATGGTGTGTAAGGGCCACGATTTATGACTGTGGAGAAAGTTCAGCACAACAATGGCTACGGAAAGTAGAACCGAGAAGATGAACAATAGAAGAGTTAAGACCTCTTTATATACAAAATTAGAGATTCCTCCTCAATGCGTAAGCCGTGATGTAATAATCGTTTCCAACCCTGCAGACCCTACTAGGTGTGAGGCAGCATGACCTATGATGTGTAAAGGGCCATGTGTGCAAGGGAAATATGAGGAGGATGAGCCACGTGTTCCATTTACTGAATGATGGTGGGTCTTCTTGGCAGATTAGGATTTGGCCGGATAGGTCCATCCGCGAACCAGAATAGAAGCCCCTTAGTTTGGTGGTTTACTAACAAAGTGCCAAGGTGTTAGGAGTTTGTTCCAATCATCGGATCATACATTGGTATTTGGAGGATATAATTCTTTCCTTTAGTTTCTTCGGTCGGATTGACTAACTTGTCTTCGAAGCTCCCCAACTTGGTTTTCCAAGAAAGCCCCTTCATTTTTTTGCTCCAATTGTAGGCTATTACATCATAGCCACATGGCATTGTGTGATTGATTTGTACTTCATCATCGGCTATGTTGCAATGATAAGTTATGTGCGATAGTTATAATAGCTTTTTGGCCTGCTGCGAAAAGTCTTCTTTGCCCCTATGTGTTTTTACAATTTTATCCTCCTTTTTGGCAGATCCAACTCTAATTCCATCTTGGATTTTTGGTTTTTTTCTCTTCTCATGCCCATTGAGCTTCAAAGCGTGAGTTGGTTAGTCATCAACCACTTCAGTTATTTTAAAGTTAAAACCTTTGTGTCTTTCTTCTTCCTTTCGCAATTCTTTTCTCTATTATATCCTTCAATCTGCACAGGTTCTTGAGGTTCAGAGCTTTCGCCTTTTTGCACTTTGCTTTTCTTGGCTTAATGTTGCTGTTTTGCCTCCTTGTTCTTTTCATGTTGGCTCGTTGTTTTCCTCTAGTGTTATTTGGCCTCTGCGTCTAAGTCTGCAACTCTCATTGATCTAAGTTTCAAAATTTATCTCTAGGTGTCGCTTTTGTCCAACATTTTTTTTCTTTCGCTACTATTTTCTAATTTTCATTTGGTTTGAGACTGGTAGTCCTCCGAAAAGGTTTTATCTTTTTGGGTTGTTGTTTGTCTTTATTGTGTCATCTGAGAGTATGAGTGACGATGAATCTCACCATCACAACCCATTGAGACACAAGCATCAAGGGGGTTTTAGGAGACACTTCCATCAGTCTACTCACCATAGTGATTCAGGAACAAAAAAAAGATATTTTGAAAAGCCCATTGAGATATAAGGGATTTTCTTCAATGGGTATTATGGGTTATCCTCCCTTCTCCGAATCCACCTCCAATCAGAACTTCTTCTGGGGTGTCTAAGGGGATTTTGGCTGAGGGGGATTGGAGGTTAGATTTACTTTGGCCGAATATAGTTGTAGATATCAGACTTTTCGAGTGAGCCCGACTAGTTGGTTTTCTAGTGACTTTGATTCTTCTTCTTTTTCTTCTATTTGTACATCAGGATTTTTGATATGGCTCCCTGAAGACCCCCCAACCTTCCTGATTAGATGGCCAAGTTCAATGCACATCCAACTGACAGACTCCGCCTGACAAAACGCATCGGGGTGAAGAACATGCCCCTAGGGTCTCCCTATGTTCTTTTGCCTCTCATCCCTAAAGGAATCTGCTACTCATTTGGTCATCAACCCTTCAACTACCAAAGTAGTCATACCCTGCCATTCAGGGGTGATTCCCCCTCTTATCTGATCTCTTTTAGCATATTTGGCTACACGCGAATGGGTGGACCTTGAGTTTAAAGGTGTTGTATCTCGCATCAACAATGAAATCCTAGTTAAGAGGATGCTCATAGATGAAAGGAGACCTTTGTATCGTACATCTAGTGTGGAGGCAGACAAGGATTGGTATGTTAGCCCTCCTGGAAAAGAAGATCGTATCTGCAACGGTCGTGATCCAACCAGTAGCCGGCCAGACTTCCTTCATATGTATAGATGTTTTTTTTTTGTTGATTGTGGAGTTAAGTTGTCATTCACAGCTTTTGAGGAAAACATCTTTAACTGGCCATTAGTATCCCCGTCCCAAATACACCTAAGTGCTTGGGCATTCATGCATATGTTCGAGTTAATGACGAAGCTTTTGAAAAAAAAAATCCTTCTACATCACTATTTATGCACCTCTACGTTATGTCTCCTAATAAGAGAAAAATCTAGGCGGTCAAAAGGGACTTGCACTTTTTTGGCTTTTATTCCAATTCTAACAAAATTTTTAAAGAAGAATATCTCAAAATATTTCCCACCAAATGGGTTGCCATTCCCTTTTTTAGGGAGAAGCGGTGAATCTCTATTCCCCCTTTACTAGATTACCCAACATTAAAATGAGGAAGACAAATTTTACTATGTCCCCGAGGGTAAGCTTACTACTCGGGAGCACATCGCGCATCGCGCTTGCCAATAAAATACTTGAGATATTACGTGTGTTTAATTGTTTCTTTGGCTTTCTAATTGTGCCTTTAGTGTTTTGTATTTGTATTTATCATATGTGATTGATTTGGACATTACTCTATAGGGGAAAGATGGACGTATTCAAACTTTCCTGCTTGGCGAACGCTGGAAGAGACCGAAACTCCCTGGACTCAAATTAAGATTGTTGTAGCCTTAAAGGCATGGTGAGGGAAGATCTTCCTTCTTCCAGTGGTGAAGGAGAGAAAGCTATCACCAGATTAGGCGTCAAAGATATTGGACGAGATCGTCGGCTAGAAATGATTCTCACTCTTGTATTTACTCTTGTGGAGGATGACGCATCCATGGGGGATGATGTTCTGGTCGTTGAAGAGACTCCTCGTCTAGCTCCAAAGAGGAATAGTTCTACTTTTCTCGAGCGGATGAGAGTTCGATGAAAATCAGGCGAAAGACGGTCGCTAGGAGCTTTTTGAAATTGCTAGTGAGTAACGAAGAGCAAAATTTTGACCTTTCCATGCAGCGCAAACAACAGATTCCTGAGAGTGCCTTCGCATTCAAGGTGTGGATGGTACATATTAAGCGTTCTCTTTTTTCCCAATATATAATTCGGTAGGCTGGGTTGATAGCCATAGATACCCCGTTGGATGTGTTTGCTGAGAAAAAAATAAGTCTGGAGTTCGTCAAAGGTGTCGTGGAACACCTCGGAAAGGACTCTGTTCATTTGCAAGGGGTTGCTAATCTTGTGCAATTGTACTATCAGAGGGGTATCAAGGCTGAGCAGCAACTGCACAATCATCTCAACAAGAAAGAAGAAGATAACTTTGTCCAAGAAACTCTCATTAGTGAGCTTGAAACTCTCAAGAAACAAAAGGCCGATGATGACAACTTCATCATGGATCTTGGAGAGAGGCTTACCAAGGTTAAGGTCGACCTCACAGAGGCAATTGAGATATTTAAAAACCTTCGAGTAGAGAAGTAAATGTTTTCTTGGAGTAGTGCCAAATTTGAGGAGAGCTTCAACAAAGCCCAAATTGAGATATGTGGTTTAACTAGTCAATGAACGATCTCAAATAAATAAGTTGATACTTTAAACTTTAAGTTTGAAGCCAGGAAAAAAGATATAGATGAAGCGAAGAAAGCGACAGATAAGGTGAACATTGAGGTAAAAAACTTCTAGGATATGGTCCGCAAGATCAGTGTTGTAGCTTGCGAAAACATTTTAGAGCAAGTGAGGTTTTTGAACCCCTCAGATAATTAGGAATTCGTTGATCGGCTACACATCGTCCAAGAGGGAAAGATCTTTAATGTTAATGCGGATAAGTCTCCCACCCTACTCTTTGACACTTCATGCTCTCCTACTAAGGAACCTTCCTTCACAACCGATGATGTTCCAGATTTTCCTACAAAAATCGAAAAGCTAGAATAATGGTTTCTTTTGTATTTGTTTTTCATAGTTTAAGTATTTATGGGCTAGTTGGTCAACCCACGATTGATGTAACTCACAAAATTTTTATATACATTAACAACACATTCGATCGGATTATTTATCGACCGTTATTTTAACTTGCTTGTTTGTCTTACAAAAGTCTTTTTTTTTCTTTTCCCATTGTATTGCTTTTACTCACTTTATGCTGCTTTCAAATGATGCCTTTCCTCGAGGGGCTCTTGCTCGGACTTCTTTCCAAGCTTTAAGATATGAAGAAACCTTTTTCGCAGGATGTTCGCTCAGACTCATACTAGGGTTTGGGGATATAAGGGTATTTTGCCCATGGATAATTTGCCCAGATTCGTACTTGGGTTTGGGGATATGGGGACATTTTGCCTATGGAGAATTTTCCCATATTCATTTTGGGATTTGGAGATATAGAGATATTCCCCGTGGAGAATTTGCTCAGATTTGTTCCAGGGCTTGGAGATTTTGACGATATTCCTCGCTTGGACAATTATCGCAGATTCATTCTGGACTTGGAGATTTTGGCGATACTCCTCGCTTGGAGAATTTGCCCAAATTCGTTATAGGGCTTAGAGATTTTGATGATTATTTGGCGAAGAGATTGTTCTTTTTCACCAAGCTCTTGAATAGTTCTCTGGTTGC